CCATTTTTCCCCCCGTTTTCCCCCTCTTTTGTCTATATAACAGCAGCTCCAGCTGCTGGTTTGAGGGTTACAACATTTGCCTTAGGCCCCTTCCATTGTATCTCTCTCCCTTTACACTTCCAAGCTTCAAACCTCTCAAACCCTACACCATTTCTTTACCAACCCATAGCCCCACCTTTCCATCCTTCATTCCAGCAGCTTGAGGTTGTTCTCCAAAGCTAAAGAGCCACCAAACTCAAGCCAAGAGTTGCCAAAAGATTAGTCTACAAGGGTAAGCTCCATTCCCCAATTTTGGTCCATATTTTGCATGCTTTCTTAGCCATACTTGCTTGCTGTTTTAGGCTCCGACCCTAACTGGACCTAGGCTTATTTTGAGCTATTTTTCATGTTTGTTTAAGGGTATTTACCTGTTTGAGGTCTCCTTGTTGCACTTGCTTCATTATCTCTCCCTTGTATGCCATCTTCTTGTGTAGTATTTTTGGCCTATGTATAAACTATTTTGAGCTCTGTCATGAACTGAAAGTGGCTTATTTTGAGCCCTTCTTCAACATTGTTGAAGGGCTCATTGCTGTTTGAGGCTTTCATTTATCACTTGCCATTATATCTCTCTTTTGGACATATTTTTGCATGATTTGTTAGCCTCTTTTGCTTCTTTTTTTGGGCTCTGGTCCGAACTATAAGTGGCATTATTTTGATCCCCTCTTCATGTTTCATCAAGGGTCTTTCACTGTTTGAGGCATCCTTTATATACTCTGTGTTATATCTCTCTTTTAGGCCTTATTTTGCATAGTATTTTAGGCTTGCATGCATACTGTTTTGGGTCTGGCCATTAACTGTAAAGTGCAATATTTTGGGCCCCTCTTCAACATTGTTGAAGGGCCCCTTTGTGTTTGAGGCCAGAAACCACCACTTGCTTCTTTGTCCCTCTTTTGGCCCATTTCTTGCATGAGAGCTTAGCCATACCTGTGTTGGTTTTTGTGGTTTGTTGTAAACTGTAAAATATCATATTTTGGGCCCCTCTTCAACATTGTTGAAGGGCCCTCATCTATTTGAGGCCTGCAGCTGTGACTCACTTCTTTATCTCACATTCGGGGCCATTTTTGCATGTTAGCTTAGCCCCATTTGCGTTCGCTGTTTGGCCTTCTTTAGAACTGTGAACATGCTTATTTTTGGGCTTTCTTGACTCTGTCTTTACATTCCATGTTCAAATAATGCATTGTTGATGTAGCTACAAGTTATTTCATGTGCTTAATCTTGCATTCCGGGACCATTTCATGCATCGGGTGCTATATTGTCATGATTCGGGGGCTGTTTCGGGTCATATTTTAGCACTGAAATTTGCATGTTTGCATGTCATATTTCATGCCTCGCCATGTCTTGTTAGAGTGGCATTTGATGCCTTAGGGTCGGTCCTCGGTTTGCGTGCATGCGTGCACGCATCTCGAGTGTCTCATTTTCATCTCATGGCCTCCTATGTGAGTGTGGCTAAGGTCCACTTATGTTGGTGTAAGCCCATATTGCATTGTGTATACCATTTTATTTTATAGCATTGCGTATGCTAGGTTGTATATTAGCGCATTGTATATGCCATGTTACCTCGTGCATCGTGTATGCCATTTCATAGCATTGTGTATGTTAGGTTGTATCTTAGTTGCATTTCATGCATATCATGCATATTGCATCATGTTTGGGATAGGAGTTAGCCCGAGCACGGGAAACGAGGGATGTTTCGTACTCCGAGTGACGGAACGTGTCTCAATTCCCGGTCACCGACACTCTGGATTATCTATGATGGAGTTTAGGCCCTGTTGTTTTTTTTTATATGCATTCATTTTATATTGAGTTGCACAATTCGACTCCTCGGCCATCATGCATTGAGATGCGTGATTGGTGGCACGAGGATCGAGGCATGCATACATTTGTGAAAATACATTGCTATGCCCCTTTCCTGCTCTCTGTTGCAGCCAAAATCAAGAATTAGCCAAACCTTTCGAACTCGGTGCGCTTTCCAAGAATAATTACAAAACAGAGGCTGAATTGGGGCACCCAAGTGGATTTCCGCGCAAGGCAGCCCGAAAATACATCATTCATCGAAGTCAAGGCAGTCCTTGGGCTGCATGCCAGTTTATAGCTTTCCTAGATTAATTTGTAAATTAATTTAGGATTTTTTGTAATCTATTTGGACTGTTAATATTTTTCTGGGACTGTATATTATTTCTTTCGGAACCCTCTGCGCGAGGGCAGTGTGTAATAAGTGTGCGTGCGTAGTGATGTATGTCTTCCACCCCACGTCTTTCTCCTTTTATTTACCCGCTTATGATGGTTAAGATTAGGGCATGGTTCAATTAGATTTTTACAGTATGATAGCATGTTTGCATTATTCATCTTGTTTTGCATGCACCGGGCTCGGTGATCATATTAACTGCATTGTACTTTCAATTCCAAGTTGAATACATGTTAGCGTGTAGCATTTCATATACCATGTTTAGAATTAGCCGAGCCTGCCTATAGTTTGCATTTTGGCATGTGTTGCATTAGGCATTCCTGTATAATTAGGATCATGCATGGATTTCTAATTTAGCTTTCTGTTTTGGCTTGGATGTACTCGGTAAGTTTTATGCTTTAGCATACTTGCATGTGTGTGAGTGACTGCCATGAATAGCATGCTTACCATGAGGCTATATGCTTATTGATATTAACTGCCTGAATGCCTGTGGGTGAAGGTTGGGTTATTTGAACTGGAATAAATTCATCAAATGTGTGTTTTAAGCCCACTAGATAGTGGCAAAATCATGTTTTTCTAAGCTCAACCTTGATGGTGGCAAATCCACGTCTTAGCCTACTTGCGGGTAGCACCATCAAAACCATTTTCAAATAAACAAACATGAAATGTTTTGTTCTAATTCAGTGCGATCCAGTTTATACTTGTATGCTGTGCGCATCCACATAGTAATCTAGGCTAATAACCGAATAAGAACACATAAGTTTTCAAAACTGATATCATGGTATAGTAGAGGCCGATCTTTGATCGGGCGAGCGGGGGTGCTCACAAAGTTGACCTTCCCCAATATGTATCCAAGTTCCCGAGCCGGAGGCAACTTTTGGTGACGGACACGTGGCCTTAGGCAACGAGTCAGGGTTTCCTAAATTTCCAAAATAAAATATTTAGGTGGCGACTCTGTATCTGGCAAAGCAGTCCATGTTTGGTACTTCTTTCAAAAAAAATCTGTTTTCTCAAAACGATTTGCCGGATTTGGACTCTTTGGTTCAGACTTAGAATCGCGACAATTTGAGAGTCCTAAGCTGTAGTGAGCCCAATATCGAACGGAACAGGGAGCTCGTTCCTCCCGGGGCATTCGGGGACGTCTACAGGGTGTATATGTCAGCTTCTACCCTATGCCTGACCCCATTATCACCTTGCTTAGAGCTCAACCCTACCCCTGCCATTTACTTGCGCATGCGCTGCCTTCTTCAAACCCAACCCTTATCATGTCTGTTTTAGCAACAACAGAGACATCACTCAATCTTTCATTCCCATCCAGTTCATCTAAGCTAGCAGGTGGGACATTGTTCCCTTCACCAGCCACCTCATTTTATAGGTCTACTTTCTTGCCTATTTAGACCTCCACATCATCATCTTCTTCCTCATGCCGGTTATTTCTGTCTGTAAGTTGCTCATCTGCAATCGCCTTTGAAGTTGACTTCCCTGTCTTCTTCTATTAGGTGGATTAAGCTATATACTGATCAGAAGGTGATATAGAGACTACTATTTGTGCCTCACAAACCCTCACTAGGTATATTGTACCATTGCACTCCAGATTTATGGTTTGATTGATAAAATCCATGCTTTTCGTGGCTATCTTCACCTTACCACAATGAAGCAAATTAAGCCGAAGAGTATCCTCATCAATAGCCAGCACTGCGCCCCAAATGTTCCCAATACTACTAAATGTTTTAAAACTCCATAAGTTCAATGAAACACCATAGCAACTAAGCCAGACAAATCTTTCTTGTTTAATAACCAACCCTTGGTGCCATTCCTGGACTGACTCACACCATCCATTGAGCCAAACCTGCATTCCTTGAAGTTTATCCTTCATATCTGCGATCTATTTGAAAGAGAGAACCATATCTTTGCCACCCCCCCCCCTCTGTCTGACCTTTACTTCCCCAAAGCCTCTCCTGACGATGTCCTCCTTAAAAGTATCCATTGATGATGATGCTTTTAACCTTACTACTACACTTTCAAACAACCAACCATTACCTTCCTCACAAGCCTTGATGGTTCAGATTGCATTTGTGTGAACTCCTCTGCCCCTCACAACCTCAGCAAAGGACCTGTTTCTTTGGTAACCAGCATTAAACGTGGTATTAACAGTTGTGGCTTTTCTGCCATCTTAACTCTCAGTGCTCTGTCATCACACCAAAGCCCACGTGCCTTTTGTACTGCCATGTCTGCTGCTACGGAGCAATTGTATCTTACAAAGCCAAAGCGAGATCTTGCCATCTTTCGTTGCTTATTTGGAATGAAAACATCTATGACAACCCTATAGTTGGAGAAAATGTTGTATAGTCCTCTGGTCCCCGTGGAGTCTGGTAGGTTATCCACGAAAATAGAATGTATAGATGTGTCTGCGTTACTGCTCTACACTCACTGTCCACCATGTCGACGTACCACTGGTTGCTATCCTCCTCCTCTAGTCGCATTTTTCCACCAAGGATCCTCTAGAGTTTTTTTTTCCTAAAGTTTCCTAAAGTGGTATATTGTATGGGTGAGATTTAATGCTAAAAAATTGATGTGACTTGTCATTAAATCTCAACCATACAACACACCACTCTAAAAAACTTTAGAAAAAAAAAACTCTAGAGGATCTTTGCTCGCATTTTTCACCATTGCCATTTTTATAGTTTTGAGTACTTTGACTATATTACTGACCCCAAAGAGTTTGTGGACATTGGGGAAGTGTTTGTGCTGGTGTTGAGGGAAGTGAGGAGCGAGAGGACAGTCGCTATCAGAGCATGTTATTGATCCACCAATGATAATAGTTCTTTTACAAAAAGATTCGCATTATAACTTCGAATACATATATTTCACAGTTATCAGAGGCTACTATAAGCATCTTCTCCCTAATAAAAAAAGGCCATAGGGCCACATGTATGCACCAACTTATTTGCACATCCATTTGCCTCGTCACGGAAGATTTGTCACAGTTATTGAACTACTTCTAGAAACCTGCAATAATGAAGTATTACATAACTCAAACGTTTTATTTATTTATGGGTAAATTACATTATTAGTCTTTGTAATTTAAGTGAAATATCACTTTAGTTCAGTAGTTTTAATTTAAATTCTATATTTTTAATTTTGTTGTAATGTGTTCTTTTCATTATGTACCGTTAACATTTTAAACAGAAAAAAAAATAGAAATTTGGTAATATCTACCTTCTTGCAATTAGTTAAGTTTTTTTCGCTGATCAAAAAGAATAAGGGGGAAAAAAAAAAAGATCTAGGCACCACTGGTGTAATGAACAGATTACACCAACTGTCCCTATAAATTTTTTTTTTTAAATTGTACTTTGATTCATCTAGTTTGCTCATGATCTTTTTTTTTTTGGTTTAAAATTCTATTAATACATAATGGAAGGACTAGATTCAGGTGACAAAGCGACGTCGTACGGAGGAGCGTGGACTTGGTCAACAGGATTATACGAGGAGAATTATTTCCTCCCCGTACAAGAATGACCAACGCTGTAACTTACCCTTTATTTATTTTTTCAATTCCGGGAAACTAATCCAATTTATTTCTATGGAATTATTTTTTATTTGTAATATGTCCTATTTGAATATTGATATATTACCCTAGTAAACACTTTTAAAATCAAGTACATAATTAATATGTAATTAAAGTGCTTAAACATATTCCCCACAAAACCTACCTTCGCGGTTTTTCCATCCGCGGGAGCAAGTGCTGCTGACTGATTAAATATTCTGCAGTAATCAAACAATAAAACAGTACTTCAAATATATATCCCTTATCTAGGAAATGTTACAATGTGCATTTGTATATCGTTACAAAAGTTCCGATTTTTTGTAGTAAAAGTCATGGACAGCAAAGTTATAATGTGCACCTTTAAATTATGTATAACCATTTTTGTTTTTTTGTAGAAATTATTCTTTTTGTGATGAACAAAAATTATATTTTTTGTGATGAGAAAAAGTTATACATACTTTTTTTTTGTATAAGGTGTATACTATATGCACCATTTTTTGGGTGCACATAGTAGCATTTTCCTGTACTTAATTTATTCATTTAAGAAAGAAAAAACATTCAGTGTGTTTGGTTTGAGTTTTCTAGATTAAGTTTTTTGAAAATTGACTTTTTTAGTTTTCGTGTTTTTTTATTTTTAGTGAATATTTTTAAAATTTTAAACATTTTTTTTACTTTTTTAGATGTACCTTACTTAGATGTATCTAAAAAGTAAAAAATTTGTGAAAAAATATTTTAAAAAATTAATAAATACATAAAAATAAAAAAAAATGTACTGAATTCTTGTATTTTTTTTTATATTTTTGGTATTTAGTGAATTTTTAAAAGATTTTTTTTATAATTTTTTTACTTTTTAGGTGTATTTATGTTAGGTGTGTCTAAAAAGTAAAAAAATTGCTTAAAATATTAAAAAAATTCAATAAAAACAAAAAAATACGGAAAATAAGAAAGTACAATTTTCTGAAAAGTATTTTTTGAAAAGTGAAAACGAACGAGGTGATTATTATTATTATATGATTAGAGGGTACTGCATTAATGTTGACAAAGAACCTACAAATAAAATTTTGAGCAAAATTCATTTGACCCATTAGGATTTAATCATCGAGTATAAACCTAAAACCATGCTTTACCCATTAAAGACAAAGCTTCTGTTGACACTTCGAAAAGATAAATAGACACAGAACTGAACAAACCTAAAACGACCTTTACCCATTTTAAAAACCAAGCTTCGGTTCACACCTTGAAAAGATATATTCAACAACAGCACCCATACATAAAACAATATGTGAGATTTATAAAACAACTTCACCCCTAAAAAGCATTAGTATAGTCCCAAAGTGAATTTTTACACCTGATTAAACAATTAAAATGTGAGAAATGAATGACTAAGAAATAATGCAATCGCAACAATATCTAATTAGCGTAGCAATTGAGCTATAGAAGAATATGGAAGCCCCATTTTAGGTAAGGAAAGTATATATATATATATATTCATTTTAACAGTGAATCTTGAAGAGAAAAAAAAAAACCATAATATCATTTTAAATGTAAGCTAATCTAAAATCTTTTATCAGAAATTGAAAAGATTCAATAAATTATGAATCTAGATCACAAAAAATGTAACTGATAACTTACGTTGGATTTTGATCTACAGTGAATCTCACAAAACGATCTCAGTTCATGGATACATTTGGGTTGCAACAAGAAATGAGCTCTCTGCTGATCTTTGCACAAAAATGAATTTCAACCATTTGATTAATCATTGAAGCACCAAAATTACACTTGATTGCATGATCAATCCCAGTGAAAGCATTAATTGCTCCCACAAATTGATATGGAGGGTAAAACAAGTCATTTGGTGCAACACCTGTGTCATCATTTTCATAAACAAGCATTAATTGTTCATCATTTTCATAAACAAAGTTCATCAAAATTAAAAAAGTGAAAACGGATTACAAATGCAGAAAAGTATTAAACACGTACCAGCTAATAGAAGAGTTGCCTGGATAGCATCAGTAATTAGGAGTTCTGGTCTTGGTATTGAAGCAGGTATATTTGCTCTAATAGTCCATTCAATTCACTGCTTCAAAAAAGTACAAGAGAGAAATATACATAAGGTTGTATATTAAAGCAAGACACATGTTTGCCCCATTCATAGCTCCAGAATCTCATGTTGTCACCTATGAGATTCGGTCATTGTATTGGCATCATAGGAAGAAGGTAGGTCAACGACGTAACCTACAAAATATTAGAAATTAGTAATGGGCCACAATTTTGTACTACTACATTTTATTTTAATTTATGTTATTTTTTATATTGTCATGCTCATCTATGAAAAATAGCTCTATTTTTCATAGATATAATTGTTGCTCATCAGATCAAAAAATAACAAAAATTAAAGTGAAAATAATAAACTTACTTGGGCTTGAGTCATGGGTGGCCATGTAGGGCATGTCAACTGATGACCATTATTGTCAATGCCAAATAGGCTGTGTGTCATGACCCAAACCCGCTTCTATAGGTTTAGCGTCATAATCGGCCAATAATCCTTGGATTACCAAAGACCTCTTAACAAAACAGCATATAATGAGGGGCTACGAAAGCAAATATAGAAAATATACAATGTCCCTAGAGCTGTGTTAATGTATATGAGACAGAAAATTTCAAAACAGCTTGTATATATATATGTGACGTCATAAATACATGGGTCTTACGTTACTCCAATACACAGATAATGCCAAAGGGAACTCAACCCAATATACAGATAAACAAAACAAAACAAAAACATCTGTAGCAAGGTAACAAACTAAACATTTCAAAAGGAACCTCCCTGTGAGGCACAGTGGCTGGCTGACCCATAACACTCCAGGCAGCAGCTTTGGCCTGGTCACGCGCATGCTCACCTACATACATAATATAATAAAGTGAGCGGAAGCCTAGTGAATAATAATAGAGTAGAGGGTTTAAATGGACGATGTCCCTCACAGATTCAGAAATCAGAATTCACATAAAAAATAGATGTATATTCATATTCTTGTTTAAACTTCATACGGAAATCAGAATTTATGCTTAGTCATACATGGCACATCCGTTAGCGTTATCTTGTTTGTTAGTTCCATAAGGAACCTCCGGTACCGGAAACTTGTAATATATTTGAGCCATGGTATTGTTACCCTCGGGCAAAGGCCATGAGACCACGGTATTATTACCCCCAGGCAAGGGCCTTGTGCTAAGGATGCCACGAATACATTTCAGAAATTTGGACAATCATTCATTCATATAAAACATCGCATTTCAGAAAACTGTTCATTTCATAGCATTAAAAAATCATTAAAGTTAAACATAACTTTACAGAGTCATTACTCACGGATGGCTCCACTTGCAGAGTAAACAAATCAAATAACTTGTGGCACGTGACCTACACACACATAGCAGAAATACATAATGAAACACACACTCGGTTGTACTTAACTTCTTTTGTTAAATTCTTAGTGTTTTTCTAAGTCTTAGCCTCTTATTGAGTCTTAAACATGGCCTAGGAATGCCTAGGATGCAATGTGAAGGCCAAAATGCACTTTGGGACTCTTAACCAAACTTGCTGAAAACAGGGGTCACGCTCGAGCGCAACTTCCTTCACTCGAGCGGACATGCAAAAATGTAAGGGGCCGCTCGAGCACATATTCCTTCGCTCAAGCGGTCTGTAAACTCTGAAAAAGTACTGGTTGTGTGAGATCTTCGCTTGATGGCCGCTCGACGATGACTCGAGCGTAAGACTGAGGTCCCCGCTTGAGTGCCACTTCTGTCGCTCGAGCGGTCTGTAAAATGTGAAAACTTCTGGGAACTCACATTTCTCGCTTGAACGGAAGTGCAAGATCATAGAGTGGTTGCTCGAGCGCAGATTATGACGCTCGAGCGGAAATGCAGAATCTGGAATTTCCAGATTGCACTTTCTAGCTTCAAACTCGAATTACACCCTTCAAAACTCATTTTTTGGGGCCAAATTTTCAGAAAACATTTAGAAACTTGTAAAATACCATGGTTTGAAGATCATTTCATGAAATCAAGGCCCAAAATTATGTCAATTGTTCAAAATCCACCTAAAGACTTTAAGAACATAACATGAATACTACATGCATGAAATGGTTTGAGCTTTAAGTGTCCAAAACATAATCAAATGAGGTGTTTAGCTCAAAAACATGTTGAATTCTTAAACCATGGCTAAAATATAAACTTGTACAAGACAAATTCATTAGACAACATGCTCTATTTGTCAAGTGATGCACATGCATACATGCATCTTCTTCTTTCTACATCAATCAACTTAATTCTTGCTTCAATTCACTTAGTTCTTTTGAATACATGTGGTAAGTACTCCAATTACACAACTAAAGGCTTGATTTCTTACCTTAGGGGTCCAATTTTAGCTTAGATGTGTTGATATTTGAGCTCACAAGTCAATTCCTTCAATTCCCTTTCAAGTCTCTCCAATTCTCAAGCTTAGAGTCAAATCTTCCTACTCCTTCTCTTACTCTCATGTTTTTGCTACCAAGGATGAAGATATGAGAGTGTAAAATGTGAATGAGGGTGTATTAATGCCTTATATAGGCTAAATTAATGGTTTAATTAAATGGTTGGTCAAATTACTCAATTAGACAAAAATTATTCTAATTAAATTGTTCCGAATCGACTTTCAATTGAACCTATCATAAAATTCTAAAAATTCTAACTAACACATTATTCAAGTCAATTTCGCGATTGAATGTCGATAAGGCCTTCAATTCACAGAACAGAACAGAATGACAAATAGATATTTTTATGATGGACAGATAGAAACACAAATAATGTCGTACACACATGCAAATAAATTCAGAATTTCATCTTAATTCTTCTTAGAGATATTTAATCATGGATTAAAGGTTAATCACAGGTTGGGGTTGTTACAATGTGAACTTTGAATTCTGGAGGGATAGGAAGTATACAATGTCCCTTATTAGAACAGAACGAATAAGGCCATTGTATGACCAATTTATATGAAGCTAAAAGTTGTGCATTACCAGGAACGAGAATGACAAATACAAACAAAATGCATAACCAATTCATGGTAGTAAATGAAAGTGTAGGAATAGTATTAAAGAATGAATCAACTTATAGAATATTGAAAACAAAATGTTTGGACGAATAGTGAATCAATTTAAGAATACAAGTTGCATGATCTAACAAAAATATCGATTTAACAAATATCTAACTAACTAACCAACTGAGTTTATTACAAGAGTTTTACTATTACACCTAACCTACACATGTCTACACACACATTACAGAGCTGCAACCTTGTGATACAGCCGCAGTTGCTTGGGTTGCTAATCTTGGCAGACTTAGTAGCTTTAGCCATCCTTGGTCTGATCTACAATCTTTGAACCATTATTTGAGCCATGAATGTGTGTGTTGATTTTCGACCACACTGCCAATCAAGCACTCAGCTGGAGAACACTAGCAGAATAGATTAAACCCGAACAACTTGTCACAGAAAGAAGAGATTCCGGCGGTGGTTCGTCCACCCGGGGGCACTCCGACGATCAAGTTAGTTATCTCTCAAAGATAGTAAAAGTGTTTAACTCACTATTTAGAATATAAAAAGCGTATCTGTAGATGTCCTCGAACGTCTTGGGGGGAAATCCCCCCCTGTCCGTTTTGTTCATTTTGGGCTTACTACAGTAACGGACTCAAATGTCACGGTTCTTAATCTGATTTCGCAAAGTGCAATGCAAGACTGATAAATCACCAAAGAGTCCAAATCTGGCAAATCGTTTTTGGAGAACAGATTTTTAAGAAAGAAGTGCCAAACATGGACTGCTTTGCCAGATATAGAGTCGCCACCTAAATGTTTTATTTTGGGAAATTTAGGAAACCCTGACTCGTGCCTAAGGCCACGTGTCCGTCATCACCAAAGTTGCCTCGGCTCGGGAACTTAGGTATGATTGGGGAAGGTCATGCAATGAGCATCCCCGCTCGCCCGATCAAAGATCGGCCACTACTAAACATGATATCTTATTTTTTGAAAACACATGTGTTCTTATTCCGGTTATTAGCCTAGCATTTACTACGTGATGTGCACAGCATACAAGTATAGACTAGATTGCCTAAATGGGAACAAAACATATCATATTTGTTTGAAAATAGTTTGAAGGTGCTACCCGTAGGTAGGCTAAAATGTGGATTTGCCACCCTTAGATGGGCTTAGAAAATATGGTTTTGCCACTCGCAAGTGGGCTTAAAACTCGTATTTGATGAATTGTTCCAATTCAAGTAATCCAACCTTCATCCACAGGCATTCAGACAGTTACATCACATAAGCAAATAGCCTCATGGCAAACATACTATCATGGTAATACTCACACTCATGCAAGATGCTAAAGCATAAAAGCTTACCGAGTACTCCAAGCCAAAACAGAAACTAGTTAGTAATCAATGCATGATCCTAGTTCATGTTAAGATGGCTAATGCAACACAGGCTCGGCTATTCTAAGATGGCATGTGAAATGCGACAATTGATACATGTATTCAACTTGGAATTGAAATACAATGCAGTTAGTATGATGCGCTGAGCCCGGTGCATGCAAGACAGATGAATGGATGCAAACATGCGAGCATAAGTATGCTAATTGAAACGTGCCCTAAACTAACCATCATAAGCTGGTAAGTAAAAGGGAGAAAGACGTGGGGTTGGAAGACATACATCACACACACGCACACTTATTACAACATTGCCCTCTCTCGGAGGGTCCGAATAAATAATACAGAATCGAATTAACTAATTATTACACAACACTAGATATTTAACAAATTAACTAAATTAGCATGCAAACTATGTAAAAGGGGCTGCCTCAGCTCTGCTTTGAATAATAAAGGATGCATGCATGCTCGAGTCGCCTTGTTCGGAAATCCCTCGCGACGCCTCGACTTGCTTTTGTTTGCAATTGACCTCAGAACACTGTATAAAGCTCTAAGAGGCTGAAACTCCACCCTGGGAACCTGAGGGAGGGCCACCGACTACCTGCCAGTGCCACCGACCAGTTTTTGCCCAAGGGGTGGTCAACCTGCCAGAAAAC